AAACTGAAGAAAACAAATTATTAAATGAAAATTTAAAATATTTTTCACTACAAAGGCAAAATGTAATTTTACGAAATGCTGACCCTAAATCAAAACATATCAGCTGGTTATCCTGTGTACCATTGAAGAAATTAAATTTAGACATGTCTCCCCAAGAATTTAGGGATTCCCTGGCACTGAGATATGGTCGGACACCGATTTATTTACCAACCAAATGTGATGGCTTTGGGAAAGAATTTAACACAGACCATGCCCTTACGTGTCCTGTAGGTGGCCTAATTATCAAACGACACAATGAAATTAGAGATGCTTTAGGAAACATTATGGAACAGGCATGGGGGAATTGTATCAAAGAGCCCCTTATAGCAGAGAATAGAAATACAAACGGGCCTGCAATTAAAGCTGACTTGGCATGTAGAGGGGTATGGGAGACACAGAGGGAAGCATTATTTGATATCCGTGTCGTAGACACCGATGCTCCCTCATATGCTTCCAAACCTCATGACAATGTCATACAAAATGCAGAAGAAGAAAAGAAAAGAAAGTATATTTCAGCCTGTGAGAGCCGGAATGCCTCTTTCACTCCTTTGATAACATCAGTATGCGGAATCCTAGGCAAAGATTTTCAAACACTAATAAGAGCACTAGCTGAGAGATTGTCAGAAAAATGGGTTAAGCCTTACAGCCTGGTAGTTAATTGGATCAGAACGAGACTGACTTGCTCAATTTTAAGGGCAACAAGTATGTGCCTGAGAAGATCTAGAAAAAAATGGAGATCTGCTCGAGAATTCGAAGATGGAGCAGGCATCCAACATAGTTATTGAGAGAATCAAAATTTTTAGCAATATCTGTAAATTTAGATTTATTTTTATTGTAATTATCTATATTAAATTGATTATGTTAATCTTAAAAAAAAAAAAAAAAAAAAAAAAATATATAACTAGTGGTCGTCTAGTGGTCGAAAATCAACCAGAAACATATAATGCACACGTACCGTATTGACTATTTGGATACTGAAGTAGACATTCCATCTATATGGACCAGCTGTCGCTATTTTCTTTATTAAAAAACTGTAGTTGTGTAAGCCAGTTACCAAATGCGTGTCTTAAATTCTATTTTCTACCTTATTTTTGTTGCCGACAAATTTGATGGGTCATAATAGTTTATATAGCTCATAATAAGTCATTCCATAAGTTTAACTTGGTAAAAAACATCGTGTTTTCATCAGAAGTCATCTACATCAGCGCAACCTGTTGGTGGCTCACATCAACTACGACGAATTAAAAAAAAAACTGGTGACAACTTTAACATAGGGATGGAATGTAAAGGTACAGGCTTCTCTATTTTTACCCCATGCTGTAAATAAAACATGTGATTGTAATTTCTTCCATTTGTTTTGATTTTATCTGTTTATATTTCGTTGTTATTTCGTCTCCAGCATGGCAACCCATTAAGCCCATGTTAATTTTTTTTTTATTTCAAATCTGTTTTTTGTGCTTAAATTTGAGCCTATTTTAATTTTTAAAGGGATTCTGCACTTCTTCAGGAAAATATCTTTCCAACGGTATGCTTAGATTTTCCCTACGATACACACGAGCTGAGAAAAAAGGTTTTAAAGAAACATGCTTGCCTATTAATATATAGATAGATTGTTACTGTGATAAAAAGATTTTCCTGATAATGGAATGTTTTGCAAAACATATATATAATTTATCATTGTTAATCTTTTTTAAATACCTATATATACATTGTTGTTATAGTTATTGATAATTTTGTTTTTATGTTAGTATTAAATGCATGGCATGAAAGTGTAAGTAAAAGTGAAGTGAAAAGACAAGAAGAAACCCACTGAAGCAATAATATTATAAGCGCATGAACTGCTTCAATGTAAATGGTGTTTAAACTGTATTGAAGCATGTAAATAAAATAAAATAAAAATAATGGGATTCATAATTAATTGAGTGTTTTCACTAAAAAATTGTGCGCTGTCCCTAGTTTTATGTACAGTAGAACTCCGATTATCCGAATCAATAGGGACCAGACCCCATTCGGATAATTGGAGTTTTACCGGAATTCCAGGAATTTTAAAGATAAATCCTAATTTTCGGTACTAAGTGAACTTTTAATTAATAATAAATTAAATCAGAACATTTTTACAGTTTACAATGCTCTTAGTACAAGTGTTCTATACATGTTATTAAGTTAATAGTTTAGCCAGTTATTGGAGTTCAGATAATTGGAGTTCTACTGTATTTATATATTTCAAACTCTTCCAAAGTATCATTTAATAAATTTCCTTTAGTGTAGTACTGTCGATTTTTCGAGACCATCATTTATATCCAGCATATAAATTGGTTATTGTCAATAATTTTAAAAGGAAAACTCAATTATGAATCCCATTATATTTTTAACACTCTCATCCGTCACTACATTTAGTCCAATATCAGCTTTTGATAACACAGACGATAATCCAGAGACCACATCTTTCCGTTATATAACCTGATTCAGTTTACTTCCAGTCCTGCCCGCAGCAATATACATGCGAGAATTGATAAGCCTATCTGTGATCGTTTCTTGTTTTGTGTTTAATGTTTGTAACATATTCTGACGACACCTCCAGAAGTGGATCCTTCTGTAAGTTTGACGATGGTGGAGTTAAAGAACCGCCAGAACATATGTAGCAAGTAATATTCGACACTACCGTACGGTACATATATTATTAAAGGATTGTCTGACAAGATGCGTTTCTTTCTACCATTATTAGTCTTAAAAGGCACTATCAAAATAAATTATAAGATTACTTTGTCACAAAAACATTTTGTAACTGGTGGCAATTAAGGTATTGTGGGTATTTTGCCCGGTAATTTTTGTAGAAGGCAGCCTGGGAGTGGCAAGCAACAAGTCTGTCCTATTTCGTGACTCTGCCTATAATTTTGAAACAAGATACTTTTTGCATTTAAGTATTATTAATGCACTTAAAGCGGTTTGAATTCTTAAGCCCTGTAAAAACTAACGCCACCATAATATATTGTACTTGTAGTTACAGTACTGTATTGGAGTAGAGTAATTCACCGAGTATCAGAATATTGTTGAACGTTTTGAAGACGTTGTCTATTGCAATACTGAGCACATGTTGGCTGATATTACAGATTCTGATTTTTAAATTTAAAAACTTCTAATCCGTCCATTAGTTAGACATAATGATGTATTGTTAAATGACGTTTCCTATTAAAAATTTAACTTTGATTATCAGCAAGCTTGTTTTTCTTTACCTCAAGTTTACTAAATACTTGAAATGCTTGTTTTTATATAAAACGATTTTGACGAGGGTTTTTTATTTTAAAGAGAAAATTGTCAGATAAATTGGTAGGGGGAGGGGGGGTAGGTTTAAATAGACGGCAGTATAAATGGGGGGGGGGATTGTCCCTCTTGGTTTGGGGGAGATGGGCACCTCTGTCTTTAAACAATGCTAAATGCTCAAAATATGTATAATTTCACTCAATTTATCGCAGTTAGATGAATTAGCGCAAGCCTAGAAAGTAACCGTCGATTTCCACGGGTTTCACCTAGTAACAATATATTTTATGAGTACTTTGGTTTGCTGCTACGGAAAAAGGAAAGAGTTGTTTTTTTAGTGAATTTTCCTATAGGCAAGTAACTATTATCGTAGGTGGTACGATAAGACCTGGGCCCGGTAATATTTAAAAATATTTAAAAAATCTGTCTTTATCTTCCGGTTGGGTGTTATAACATAACAAGATACCCCCAACTAATAATTTGGTTATAATTTTGTATTTGTTTTTTTTTGTTTTCATTAAAAATAAAAATAATATTTAAAAATTTTTGATTTTTAATATGTAATAGTTGAAAATGCCATCTGCAGGACACTAAGGAAGAATTGATCTTCCGGTCGCGCATAGCAATACAAATTCACTTGACCATCATCAAAGCAGTTAATGGTCTGGCCCATAAATGTGTCAAAAACACTATTGTTAGAATGTTCAGCTGAAAAATTAAATAATCAAATAACTTAATCACTTATTTATTTGACCAAAGTAACACTGATATACATTGATTTGTGTAAAAAAACAGCCAATCAGATACCTTTGTACTTAAGGATTCAAGATATTACCAATCTTAAAAGCAGTTACACACTATCGATCTTTTCCCTGGACAAGACCCCGAACGGAGCAGGGAGAAGGGAGGTAAATGTCAGCAAAATTTCAATCCCAACATTTCCCCGAACAAGACGAAGACCAGACGAGTTCTACCAAATGCGGCAAAAGGGAATTTAGAGAGAGATGGAAAGAGTGTGTGAGTGAGAGAGCGGAGGCAGTAATAAAACATGAAATAACATGTTAAAGAAATATAATTTTAATTGCCTTTAACAATATTAATATTTATATTAATTTTGAAAGAATTTACATTACATTGACTATTGTACAGAACATCAATTACTTAATTCAAGTTTAACATCATGGTTATCTATCATTGATTTAACGGTTTCAATTTGTAAAATACATTTTCAACCTTGACCAAACATACCGCAAAATTACAATATAATTGCCCATAATAAATAACGGCAAAATATGACTCAACATTTGTTTTTACCAACTAAAAATTTTAATTACTCGTATCATATTAAATTAGAACTATCAACGCTAGCGCAGATGGCCGCTCGGTGCGGTACTCGCGACGGCATACGGGGCAAAAATATACCAAACACACTATTGTACTGCAGATGGATCTTTTCTTTGATCTTTTACCAAAAAACCACCTCCAGAGCGCTTGTCTTCCTGCTCGGCCTGATGTTGGTGTACGCACCCGTGACACATGCTCCCTTCGACCTCCCTTCTCCCTGCTCGGTTCGGGGTCTTGATCAGGGAAAAGATCGATAGTGTGTCATTGTCTTAAGACAAAAATTATATTTTGTATTTAGCCATAGGTATTTCTTGACTATTCACATGTTGATGTATTGTGATGTGGGGGTTGTTTTGTAGGAGAATGAGCAGAACTTGGTGAGCAGAGTGTTGTCCACAGTGCGTTGTCCGGTCACCTGTGACATTGACTTCTGGAACCTTATTGTGGACAACATGTTGGAGGAGTGGAATGTGAAGGAAGAGAAGGTGCGTGCGGTCGTGTGTAACGGTAGTAGGTCTCAGATCACCGACACTTTCACAGCCAAGGGGTTCACAGTGCTACCTTGCTTGATGAGCACTTTACAGGTGAGACAACACATTCACAAAATCTTTCTCAACTATAAATTATGTTTTACGACCAAATTTAAGGGGTTTTTTTTACATTTTTATTTAACTAAATTGTCACTCTCCAAATTTGCTTGTCACTCTAAGAGTCGTCTATAAGTGTAATTGATTGCAGGATGTGTGCAGCAAAGTTTGTTTTGAGCAAGATGATGTCAGAGAAATTTTAACCAAGTGTCGAGCATACATTGGTACAGTTTACAAGTACAACAACGCCCTAGCAGCTCTCAGGATTCAGGATCATCTCATGTCGGTAAGCGTCGACAGTCGTGCTTTTGTTAAAGTTCTTGGAACATCGAGAGTCAAAAAAATATGTTTACAAATTGATGTTTAGTGCACCTTTTACATACTCACGAAGTGGCCACTTGTACTTCAATATTTGACCTCACCAACACAGCATCTCCGTATTAAGTCTCTGGTCTCATGATATTTATTTTTGTTTACTGTGCCAGAGGTTATAAGTACGTAGTACAATTATCTAACCATATATTGAAGTTCATACTCTAGGGACTAATAAGTAATTTATGATAACAATTGGTCAAGTCAGAGGAATGTCAGCCCTTGTTCAATTCCAAATCCATCTGAAAATTGATTTAAAAGGAAAAATTGGTTCTAGTTGGAAGAGACACCTCTCTTATGCGACTACCCCAAAGTGTGGATCTCCACTTATCAGATGCTAGAGAACTTCATAGCCCGTCGCCAAGTGTTGTCATCCATACTGGACAACATAGAGTCTGCTACACTGGACAGAGAAGCTATAACATTGTCCGAGGGAGACTGGGCGTTGATGGCGGACGTGGTGGAGGTACTAGAGCCATTTAAGGTAAGGTCAATCAAAACAGTGAATCCAGAAATTCTAAATGCAGCTGTTCCTATGATGTTAAAAGATGTATCCAATTTATCAAAAGAAAGTATGGAAATTAACCCCAGCCGTTTTGTGTAATTTAACCAATAACATACTGGTCTGTTTCTTTGTATTTCTACAAAAATTTGTACCTGTGTAAGGATTTGCTTTTCTATTTAAAGAATCATACAGGCTATACTCTCTTTCCCAAAATTTCTGCCCCCTGAATATTTTTTTCTCAAATATAAAACTTAGTTATTTAAAATTCAATTTGACATATAAAACGTTTAGTTACCTTGAATAGTACTCAAACAATTATGATTTAAAATCCCGGCATTCTTTTAAAAACACCCTTTAAACCAGTGGAAATGGTTAATATTGTATGTGGTAAAAAACAAACCCCTTTAATAAAATTAATCATTTTTTAATTCAAACAATTATCATTGTATCCAGTTACATAATTGCCCCAACCTTATTCATCATCAGACTGAAGTTCTACTGCTTGACAAGAGTTTGCACGTTATTATTATTATGCTAGTCTAGCAACAACATTTAAAATTTCACAGAAAATATAAATTGAAAGGAGAAGTTATGTTACTGGTATGAAAATGTTCAGAACATTCCAATTTTTAAATTAAAATAAAAAATATTTTTTTAAATAATTTATTTAAATCTTTTATAATATAGTAATTAATGTTTTTTTTACAAATTTTCTAATTTATTTTCTAAATATTGCATTTTATGGCTAAATGGTTAATTACCTATATCAAATTATTCCTTATACAAAAGTTATAGCTCTTTCTTTGGCGGACATTTTTTACATTTAATGTTTTTTTATAGGATGAATAGTTTGAGTATACGGGGAAAAACTGGTTTTTGGATGCCATTTCCCAAGATGGCGGCCCTAGCACAAGTTTTTTTTTTAGGACTTTTAGTGTGTTATGGCGGAAGTAAAATTCAATATATGTACCAAAGTTAAGAGTTTTTTAGGTAATTTCTCAAATATGACTAGACTAATGTTGTTCTTCAAAGTAACCATGAAAGCCACTCTAAATGCCACCCAAAACGGTACGGCAATCATCTTGTCACTATTTTAACATAACATTTTAAAAGAACTATCAATTGTTATTGGTAGTAATTTCCACTATAGAGAATGAGCTTTTACCATAGGGGACATGATGTGACCTAAACCCAGTATATTTAAACAGTCTAAAGGAGATGAGTTTCTTACCATTACAGGGAAAAAATACTTCAATTCTTCATTCTTTTGATTTCCTTCAATTACAATTATATCGAAAGAACAACTTTACGGAACTTTAAAAAATACTAAAATAGGCCTATAGCCTATAATGTAAATTTTATGTTTTCAACTAATTGAGGTGTTGTGCCATTACAGGTCACAGCAATGACTTTAAGTGAGGAAAAAGCACCCTTGGTCTCACTCATCAAACCTTTGTTGTCGCAACTACTGAACTCGCATCTGAAAGAAAAGGCTGATGATTCAATGAACGCTCAAGTCTTCAAAGGAGCTTTAAAAACGTTTCTCTCAGAAAAGTGAGTATAAGTTAGGAACATCGGTCAAAATAACTCCTTATCCCAGGATGCGAGGGATGTCCAGAAAGTAACTGACGTTTCTGGTCTCATGTGGCAGTGAGTTATTCAAGGTATAGTTATAGTAACCTGTATGTACACCAGTTCTTTTGTGCTTGATTAGTGGGATTCAGGGTTTCAAAACAAACTGAATCATGTTTGCTTTTTAATTGATTTTAGTCACCTGACTCAACGACGACAACACAGGAACGTTAAAGAGCTAATTATCCGATTCCGATTCTATTGTAAACATAAACAATACTTGTGTGATAAAAATATTGTCTTTTTGATATTTCTTGGTAAGATTGTAAGATCCTCATTTACTTTTGATGCAGTATTTATTTAATGGGTTAAGAAGGGTTTAAATTCATATTTTCTTGCGTTTACAGTGTTTGTTTAGCTTTAAAAACACTCCATTACCACTAGTGATGTGTCGATACCAAAATTTATCGATTCCGATACTGATACTTGGAAAAGCGATTCTTGATTCTTGATACCGATAGCATTTTTTTTTATTGTTTTACCAAATTTTCTGAATGGATTGGTTATGCGAGACATGTTTTTTAAGTAAGTACCGTTTTTAAATTTCTCAGTTCCAGCGCTGCGATTGGCATTTTGGACATTTGTGCTGTGTATATGCATCTATTGTCAAGCCTGCGCCAGAAATTCGGCAACAATATGCCATGTTTACATTCGATTTTGAGCATTCAAAATGGTGCCGCCAATTGAGACTGCCGCCGACTGTGAAGTGCCCGCTGTAGTTAGATTTTTAAGTGGTTAACGTGTGAAAGCCATTGAAATTCATCGACAGATTAGTGAAGTGTGTGGCGAGAACATTATGAGTAAAGAAAACTCCTCAGATAATGATGAGATTGTAAACCGACTGTTCTCTATCACTTTTTCATCGACTTTGCGCATCAATTCATCAGTCATGACAGATTACCGCCCAGTCTGTTCCTCATCATGAACGGTGGTGCGGTTGTCTTTAAATGCCCGTACCCACTTGCGTACTATAACATTCCGTTACTCATAATGTTCTCGCTGATGTTCTCTTCACTAATCTGTCGATAAATTTCAATGGCTTTCACACCTTTAGCACTTAAAAATCTAATTCCAGTGCTCACTTCACAGTCGGCGGCAGTCTTATTTTGCGGCACCATTTTGAATGCTCGAAACCAGATGTAAACACGGCCGATTGTTACCAAATTTCTGGTGCAGGCTTGCCAATAGATGCATATACACAGCGCAAATTTCCAAAATGCCAATCGCAGCGCTGGAACGGAGAAATTTAAAAACAGTACTTACTTAAAAAACATGCCTAGTACTACACCAAGCCCTGTCTTTATGTTCTCTAAGTACTTTTAAGGTAATGGGGTGTTTTCAACAAAGAAAACATTTATGCAGCAATGATCCATATTACCATATTACTACCATATTAAAGATAAATGAAGATCTAAAAAAAAAAAAAATATTATAGAGGTGTGCTGGCCTGACGTTTTCAGTCAAGCCAAACTTGAGGTAATATCGTGATCACCAGCGATTGTGGAGATATTATCTTCGTCATCTGGGATTAACAAAAAATCCAAAATATCTTCCTCATTAATGGAAACATCATCACTGTCTTTCGTGGTCGTGGAAAAATCACAAACAACTCCCACGGCCGTGTAGACATCATCATCAATTCCCCCCGTCACGGAAACGTCATCGTCATCTGCGATTGCGGCAAAATAATGAACATCTTCTGCGGTCGTGTAGATATCATCATAGTCTTCTGCTATTGTGGCAAACTCATGAACAGCTCCCGTGGCCGTGTAGACATCATTGACTCCCGTGGTCACGGAAACGTCGTTGTCGTCTTGCGCTAAGTTGACTGCGCTGAATACTTTGACAGCTGGGGAAACCAATATGCTAAAATGAGACCTAATATGAAAATTAAATAAATTATTGAATTTACTTAAGTTTGAAACCCAACTTGTGTAGTTCCTGCTAAATCTTGCATTTAATTCGAAACTAGAAATAATTGATAACTCCGGAAACAGTTCATTAGATAACTACCTTATTGATAACCGCAAATATTTGGTTTTTCATTTCAATAAACCAAAATATAACAATAAACAGAAAACCTGGAAGAATCAGGATTTGCAGCTGTAATAATTTTAAGTTGACTACATTAAAACAATTTAAGATAGGCCTACAAAAAAACAATCACCCGCTTATGTAGTGAGCCAATTTTGAATGTTCAAATTGAAATCCACGCCAAACATCGTGGTCAAAAGGTCCAATCAGGGTCAAACGCGGAATGATACAGAACAGCTGTTTGAACAAAATTTCAGCCCAACCCAACCAGTATTTTTCGCGTTTACAGTACTTGTCACAAACCAGGGTATCCACTTTTGGAAAGTCAGGTGTTTTGAATCTTGAAATAATTACCAGAAATGATAAAATAATTATTTCACAAACAGATTAGTAGGCTTCTTTATTTATTCCAAAGTCTTAACTGAATCTTCAAACAATTAAATTAATTCAATACAAAATATTTAACATGTGGTAAACCAAAACACAGTAGATTAGAAAAAATATAACAGTCAGATCAAAAGGAAAATCAATGAAGTGAAAACATATTCAATAAAGTTCACAACATCCTCCCCCCATTTAAAATTGCTAAACAATTATGTGCAATTTTAAATCAGTAAAATCGCTGGGGCACTTTTACTTCTCTTCCACATCTGGTTTTCTTCTTAGCGAAATCAAAGACTTCGTTTTCAACTACTTCTTCTTCTTCAAGTGGTTTATTTTCTTTCATACACTCTTTTTCACAAGCTGTGATTTCTAATGGAAAAAGTCTTTGTAGTGGTCTTGTCAAAATACCATTTCCAGTTTTAGCGAATTTCCCATATAGGGAATAAGCTATTACCGTAGTACTCATGGTAAGACCTGGACCCGGGACCGATTTTTTTTTTCATTTTGAGGTCCCTAGAGGCCAAAAACATCATCCGTTCAAATTCATATATATATTACCATATTAAAGATAAATGAAGATCTTAAAAAAAAAAAAAATATTATAGAGGTGTGCTGGCCTGAATATAATGCAAGAAAATAATATATATATATATATATATATATATATATATATATATGTCCGTTAGCGCGATAACTCGAGCAAAAATGATCCGATTTTGATGAAATTTGGTACAAACGTGTAAACCTACATTTATTCGAACGAGTTCGCGAACCAGCTTGATCGGACCATGGGAACGGGGGTTTATGGGGGCTTTTATGGGGTAAAAATGGGTTTTTCCCATTTTTGACCCAAAAAACATAAAATTTTGCAATTTCTTTTCAAACAATTTTGTAGAGCTTAAAAAAACAAATAATTTACTATATTGAAGCGTTATAATGTGCCTAATGGTTACGGAGAAAATTCCAAAAAATTGTAAATTTAAAATTCTCATGTTATTCTTATGGAGAATAAGTAAACTGTTGTAGTTTGCTTGTTTATTAACATATTTTGCCCAAATTTGGAAAATGTTTTTATTTCTTACTAACTATTAACATTTTACATAAAAAAACACTTTTACCCTCCCTGTTGCAGCAAACCTAAGTATGTGTTAAACTGATTCTATTTAAATAGGGAATAAATGTGATATTTTTAAGGAGACATTTTAGTGGAAATCCAATCAGGCAAATGGAAATTCGCTTAGTCTGCAGGTTTGCTGCGGCGGGGGTATTTAGTCTTGTGACTCTGGAGAATCCATCTCTTCCTGGATATACATCTTGTACCAACCCCAAAGGCCATCTTATTCGTTTTGTGTTATCATCTCCTATCAATACAACTTCTCCAATAATTGGTTCTCGACTTTTCTTGTTTTTTCCATTGTGAACGAGTGTAGCCAAATATTCTTTCTTAAACCTGTCTCTTAGTGATCTTCTTAATTTGTTTATATAACACACTCTTTTATTCAAACTTAGACACTCAATTTGATCCAAATCTGGTAATTCAGCTGTTGATGTTGGTTGTAAGAATAAGGCTTGAGTTAATGGTTGTAAACAGTCATCATCATTCGAAAGATAAGTCAAAGGTCTTGAATTTACAGTTGCTTCACAATCACACAAAATTGTTGAGAGTTCTTCCTGCGTGACTGAAGAATTTCCCAAGTTTCGTCAAAGAATTTCCTTTACCACTCCAATAAGTCGCTCCCACCACAAAAATCGTAAAGCGTCTCGGTCACTTTTTGTTGAACTTTGCAAGAAAGCTTTCTTAATATCTGAAATAACGCCTATTGGGTGTTTTCTAAACTTCATTAGAAGAGCTGGAACTAGTTCTATTAAATTAGGTCCCTTTTCCAAACAAGAGTTAAGTGAATTCCCTCTACTATCAACTACAGAAGCATCAAAGACTGGTCGAACCTTAGTAGTCAAACTGGATTCTTTGACCACAGCGTGATGAGGTAAGTAGTGTACAAGTCTATCAGTTACAGAGGACTCAACAACCCTTTCAATAATGTTTGAATTTAACCACTCTGAAAATACCTGATCATACTCATTGAACTTTTCTAACTTAATCAACTTCTTGGTCACTGCATGTAGTCGCTTCTCGGCTGTAACTTTGTTGTCCATAAGCTCCGGATGGCCTTCAATCCATGGAAGAGTCACCTCGTACCTATTTTCACTATTTACTACAATAGTTTTGTTAAAATGCTCCAAGACATCTGATGCATTCGCCTCCTTTGTTTTACTACCTGATGGATCAGTGATTCCCAAAACATCTAAACGCCATAGATCTGAAATGTCCATTTTAGCAAAGCAACTAATGCTAATAAGTGACTGGTAACTTTTTCCACATTGACCCATTACTGTCCATCCTAACACAGTCTGAACAGCAACCAGAGTTTGATCTAGCTGTTCAATTTTACCTGTGAGAAGTTGTCCCAAGATATCAGCTCCTAGTAGTAACTCTATTTCTT